TGTGATGTGATGTAATATAATGTACCGTAATATGATGTGATGCGATACAATGTAATGTGATGTGATGTGATGTAATTAATATAGGTCTAATGTTATGTGGTGTGATCTTATATAATGTAATGTAATATAATGTGATGTGATGTAGGCCTAATGCAAACGATACGACATCAATATTTATATCTTGTTAATATAAATAATTTTCACATACTGCCCTCTTACAAATTCTTTTCATACGTTTTGATTTGTATTTGTATTTTATTTCAAATGCCTCATTTAATAACTCATCAACACTTCGTAATTTTAGTTTTTACAACGCATTAAAAAATACTTTTCTTTAACGAAAATATAAAATAAATCGAAATCGCTATAACTACGCACCGTTGTAAATATACACCTATAATCATACTTTTACAGAGTAAAGTGATAAACCAGCCAAATGTGTTAAGCCATTTAAGAATCGACAAGGAACGATATAATGAAATACTACTCAAATTAAATCTGCTTTTATTTAAATCAATTTCTTCACACGACTCACACTGAGAAGTGAGTGTATATCACCGTAATTGAATGTACATGTAACAGTTACAAGGTCATGTGATCTAGCTACCTGTCACATGACACACTTCACATGGTGTAGAATGTCCAATCAATAGACGGTAAACGATAAATGTATAATATTGAAACGTGTATTGCGAATCCGATTAGACAGGTATAACATAATATATGTTAATGGTTATAATTAAAAGAAATCATTAATCAAAAATTTAAACTCATTCATTCGTGAAATAATTTAATAAAATACAATATTACCGGAACATTTTATAAAGATCCCAACATAGCCCAAAAATGTTATGGTGTTAAATATGTTAAAATATATTTGCTGTATACATTTGACGATAATAAGAAGTTGTAGACAGACTGATACATTTTAAAATTTCTATAACTCCAGTTAATACGGAAGTTGTCACTAGGGCTTTACAATATAATATATAATAATGGGCAATAATAATAATAATAATAATAATAATAATAATAATAATAATAATAATAATAGAAATAATAATAATAATAATAATAATAGTGATAATAATATTAATAATAATAATAATAATAATAATAATAATAATAATAATAATAATAATAATAATAATAATTGAGTTGCTTTTGTTAAACCGATTGCTTTCGGTTTTTCTAAAAAGAAACAAAAATAGGTATATTAAGATTTTCAGATTTTTGATCGGAATTGAATTGGGATAGGAATATATATTTAAAAAAAAAGCACACACACAAAGAAACAATCATATGAAACACATATCAGAAACAAAAAAATGCCACGCTGAATATGGTATCATATTTGGAAATAGAATAAATACAATTTGGAAAAAAAAACATGTAATCCCTTAATAATCATAGCTTATGCCTTCTGTAATTTATAAATTAACAAACAATTTTAATGCATTATTTATGAAATTCGATTCTCAATCATTTGTGACAAAAACTAATTAACGAAAAATACTTATGATGGTACCACTTGTAACTGTTGTAAAAATATGGAAACAGACTTTACAAGGACAATGTCTAGTAAGGATTATGCAATGTGGTTTGCAATGGTTTTGTTGCATTTTTCCACAATTCATTAAGGCTGTCACTCGTATCATTCTAAAAGCAAAGTATGATATCATTTGCTTGTTGCTATGCATTTGTTAAAAGAAGTATTATAATTATTTTATGTATATTTATAGGTTTATACTGATATAAACATTTGTATTGTTTTTGTAAGCTATACACTGTCTGCCGAAATAAAAAATATAAAAAAACCCGAAAAATACCTTAAAAATTAGTTTAATTTCAAAAAGCTCATTTAAAGATATCCATAACAAAAGGTCTTACAATCAGAAAAAAGATTAAAAACAGTGTTCGCAGATTTACTGACTGTTTTTTCTACGAAAACCCTTAAATCTATTACAAGCTAATAGGGGACTTTTTAAACATTTTCTTTTGATTGAAAGTTATTAACTTACTATACAAATTAAGCAATTCTAGGGGTGGCGCTAGGCTTGCCAGACTTAGGTCGGGGGAGGGGGAGAATTGGGGTGCTGATTTTAGAGTCTACTAATTATGTATAAAATACACACACACACACACACACACACATTATACATATATATATATATTATATATATTTATATATGATATATATATATATATTATATATATATATATATATGTATATATGTGTGTGTATATATATATGTGTGTAAAAATATATGTATATATATATGTGTATATATACTGTCTCTTATCTTGGTTAGCTCTTCGTTGACTTTTCATTCCTTAATTGGTGATAATATATTTTATTGTACTGCTAAGACAAAATAAACTATAATTTAGGTTTAGTTTACTTTAAAGTATACTGTAATCGTAATAAAATATTTACGTATATACCATAGATATAATTATATAGTATTGTGTAGTCACCAGATGAAGTTTATTGAGTTTATTAATTAAAGTTTCTACGTGTCTGTAGTGTTGTCTCCCGTCGTTTTTATTGCTTAATTATCTTCAGCAGAAGTATAATTAGGAACCCAGACACTAGAACTCAATTTATTTATCATGACAAAGGTATATAATGACTGCAATGGAAATTACCGGTACTCAGTAAATACAGTAGTTAACTGATAATAGGATCTGCTTTTTATGCTACAAAGACGCTGGCAAAAGAATCCACCAGGAGAATTGCATGGTGTCATGTTTAATTACTGGTTATAACATTGCATTGAAGATATATGATGTTTTATGAACGCAAAAGTGTATTTTTAATTATTTATGTAATATTTTGAATCTTTCTATAGAGGGAATGTACAATAAACAATGTGAGAAATTAATGGTTGAACAGTCTCCAGAGTATAATGTGCTTAAAACAGTGTGAAGCTTGTCATGAAAAAAAAAAATACAGAATCAGTTCCAAGAACATGAAAATTGACTTTCTAATATTCATATTCTCCAAACAAACTCTACCAAAAAATGATGGGTCATTTATTGAAATCGACTTACTATTACCAAAGTTGTGAGTAAAAGTATTACGGCTGCTCGGTATTAAAGTATAGGCTTACAATAATGTCACATTCCTGTGCTAATTACTCACTAATTAACGGCAGTTTGCACTACGCTGGTTTTATATGGAAAGCCTGAATTGTATGTAATTATTACATTGCATCGAAAATATAAAGTTGCTACAATATATAGGCCTTATGAATGATGTCTTAAGATGTTTATAGGAACCGCGAAAGTGTACTATATATAAATGTTACTGTTACTATTGAATCTCTCTACAAGGAAATGTAAAACAAATGAACAATAGGAAAATGGTTGAATAAAAGCATAGAGAAACGTTGCTCTATGAATAAACAGAAGTTGGAAATTGTCGCCAAAGAGTGTGCTTATCAAACTGTATATAACTACATGATAGATAAAAGTAAAATAACAAAGCCCAAAAAAATAGTGATGGTATTTACCGTATATGCCTATCATCAGTAGCAGAGCCAACATAACATGTTTTCACTGCCAGGAACTATAAACATTTCATTGCATTTTATCTAATGAAAAATTGCTCTTACTTAGATAAGATCGCCGTAAGCGTATACATTTTTGTTTGAAGAAAAAACAAAATTTAATTAATAAAATTAACGAAATATAATTGTTTTTAAAACATAAAACAATTGACGCGTGCGTATTGCATATACCAATGTGATGATGTGCATTGTGTTTCAATATTATTCAATCAATATTCACGCAGTCCGACGCTTTAACAGGTGGAAAAGATCGGAGTGCATCGGAAATGTCCATGAGTTATGGTAAAAATATACCATAGGATTATATAAACAATCTACTTGTACGCACTGGATAAAACCCGGCTTAGTGCAGTGTATTAATAAAAGTCAGGCTTACTTATTAAAAACACATACGGTTCAGTATGATAGGCCTATTACAGTACTATATGTAAATGGTTAATCACTGGATTAACAGCCAATGTATAATGAAGTTTAGCTTATTAAGAAATTACTATAATTATGGTGTCACCAAAACGGTCACTTTTAAATAATAATAATAATAATAATAATAATAATAATAATAATAATAATAATAATAATAATAATAATAAATAAATAAATAAATAAATAAATAAATAATAATGGCACAGGTCTTAAGTTGTATTCAATAAAAGTAAACTCTTTCTGTTAAGATTAACCCTTGGACAAATGTAGATTCTGATAACTTACCGTACTTCCTATGTTTAGGCTATTTAACCTTTTTAAAATTAAATATATATTACATTAATAACAAATTTCCTCACTATACTTAACTAGCGCATTATGATTTCTACATAATTCCTACACTTTCTGGTAAGTCCCGGAGAAGAATTTTGAAAAGAAAAATATGTTACCGGTAATCTGCGATAACTGTTTTATACGTGTCTTTGTATGTTAATCTTCTATGTAAACGTTTAATCATAACTTATAATATGTGATTTGATTAAATGAGCTCTGCGGGCTTTTAATTGCATGATTTAAAAAAAAAAAGTTATTTTCCATACGTTAAGGAAGACGGTAGAACTTTCATCGGAAAGCAAAACTGTTTTCTATCATTTTCGTAGCTAATGTTTCCGTTCTAAAAATGTTTCGATGTACATTGGAAGTGCAACTATGGAGACGCCGATCGTGGTAATTGAAGGATAATATATGCTTCTGATTCAATGTATCTTTTCCTTTGACATTCATTAGTGTGTGTAATCGACTGCGGAGTCCCGTGAGGACACCAGTAAAACCCATCTTTAAGTGCTCTCTTAAATATCTGGCTACAATATTGACATCATATCGCAGGAGACTTTGACATTTACCACGGCAATTGAGATTTATGCGCAAAATATTAGCCCAGTTCCATCTCTCCTCACATGTGATCATAAATTCTTGTACCGATTGACAGGTTTATTAAAACATTTAGCCGTAATAAAAATGTCTTTATTTCAGAATATTGTTCCGATATGAAAACGGTAACTTGCACTTTGGTCGTCGCCGTTTGTACAACGTCTCTTGTCGTAAATTTAGTTGGACAATAAATAATTCTGAAATTACAATAAGTGTGTGTCGTTTAATTTTACTTTTTGAAAACTCCTCTATGGCCTACTAATCTAACAATACATTGATGAATTGTTTATTGAAATATATATATATATATATATATATATATATATATATATAAGAAACTACTCATTATTCAATATCATGGTTTAATGTTGTTGTTGCTGTTATTATTATTATAAATATACTTATCTTATCATTTTAAGTATTATTAGATCAAAACAAAGAGGTTACTCATAATAATACTTATACACGCCAAAATTTTACCTGTAACATTACTTAGTAACTATAAAAAAAAATATCTATTCGGAGCAGTGGTGGCGCCAGGATTTTCCCAACGGGGTGGGGGCGGTAGTAGTGGACGATGTCCCCGAAAAAAAAGTGGGAGTGATCGGAAAATCTCTCGAAAGTGTTCCAGGGAGCGTAGCCCTCTGAAAATTATGACAATTTATAGAGTTTCAAAGGCTATTATGTAGAAAATACATATACATTTATTGCTCCCCGACGAATTGTAGTTTTCTCCCAACGGGGATGGGGCTCTCCCCAACGGTGGCCTGTTCACCCCACCTCCGACCTCCCGCGGGCGCCACCCCTATTCGGAATTCCCGTTGGGACACTTGAAATTCTCAAGAGGGCGTATCAAATTGTTGTACAGGCAAACCAAACCGTTTTCAGTCCCGGATATCAATCGGAATCGAACTTCCAGCGAAAGCATTAGTTTCCCGGTGGTTAAAGCATCTCCAAAGACAGCCAAAGTTGCCGGTTTGATCTGAGTTGAGGCGGTTTTTTTTTTACTTAAATGTGTAAATAATATCTTAAGAGATGAAACATGAACCATAGGCTAATTAATTCGCATTAGTGGTTAGGAATATCAATAATATTCATAATAATAAAAATGTATCAGTATACGTCTAGTTTATTATTGTTGATACTATAATCAGTATCATAACATTAATTCTTTATTAACGAAAGGTTAAATAAACAGGTCTATTTTCTATTTATGTATCAAAAATAAAGTAAGTGAAAACATACAATCGATAGACCAAGATAAGATAAAAATAATTGAGTCGTTGATTGCAAATTACGCCCATATTGTGCATCTTTTTTATTGAATACACATCGCCGGTTGCTTTGACCCAACTGGGTTTCACATTTAATTACAGGGCTTAAATTTTGTTTCTACAGTAAAGTGTTTGTTAGAGATATATAAATAAGATTCCAAAGAATTGCAGTGTATACAGTGTGTGATTGTAAGTAAATATTAGCCAATTGACGACTAATACATGTCACCTGCAATATTAATATTAAACGAAAATACAATCATACCTGTCACCCCAAAAGCATTGTCTCATCATAGGACCATTTATCAATTAATAATCTTATATATCAGTATCCGTTCTGCTCTCAGCCTCATTGTAGGCCTAAAATAATTCTAGCCTACCGCCATGTTAATACTGAACAACATAATGTACCGTATATTATTTTAACTGTTAATTGATGTTTTATCATAGACCCCATGCGTACATAGGGTTTGTGGTTTTACTTACTAAAATCTGTTAAACAACTTTCAATTGTTTACTAGTTATCAAAACAATATGAAATTTTTTCTTCTTTTTTTCTTTTTTTGTGTTTTGGTATGAAAAATTTCATATTTTGATGTGCAAGTTTTTAGTCGGTCGGGGTGTTGCCAGCCCTAACAAAGAGGGAAAATATTCTGTATGCCTACTTGGAATAGTGATTATGAAGATTATTATGGGCTAATTAGTAAATGAATAAGTGTGTTGTAGCAGGGAACAGTGAAATTCACTGGTTGTAGGCCGGTAAGTTAAAAACAACAACAACAAGTCTTTTTTTCTGTAGTAAAAGACAGTCAAGAATTCAAATAATTGAATAAGTAGTATTAAGACGTTCAGATAAGTTTACATAAACTTTAAATAGGCCTAGTAAGACAAATCGAAATACGTTTTTTAAATGTAATTTTACAGCCTATTTAATACGAAGATTCCTTTTTGTTTGTTAACTTATGCGAATCATACTACGAAAAGTACCGTACTATTTAGCTATTGACTCGTTCTAAATTATAAATGAAACAACATTAAATAATGTATATTAATTCGAATACACGCCCCAAGGCGTTTATTGTTGATAACTGTTGAGGGGGGCGTTTATTCGAGGGATGCGTTTATATTTTTATGCAAACTGGATACGTACATACTCAAAAAAACGCCACTTAATTTCACTGTAATGTGGAATTACAACACATAATTACTCTAAAAAATTTGTCGTGATCATTAATTCCAACCAGGTTAGAAAAAATGGAATTCTAATGGAGTAGAACATTAACAGAATGTGTTGAAAATTGTTGTTGCTTCTATTGTTTACAGACATTTATTCGAGGAAAAAAGATATGCCTCGGGCCGTTTTTATTTTTCCGAGGGAGGCCCTTATTCCAAATGAGGCTCTAGAGGGGAGTCTATTCAAAGGGGAATTAATTCAAAACGGGGCGTTTATTCGAATAAATACGGTAATGAAATGACAAGAATAAAAAGAACAACCGAAAGTATACGTAACATTTGTTTATACAGTTGATACAATTTGAGACTCCTCTAATTTGGTGATCACTAACAACCCTCAATCTTCGAGACCAACTCAAGTTATTCACCCAAGTTACTTTATGGAAATAAAGTTTATGATTTTCTGAACGTTTTTCAAAATGACGGTGATTTGATTTCATTTGATTTTTTTTTTCGCACCATACACGAAACATACAATACACAATTAATAAAATAAATATAAAAGTGAATAAAATCAAGTGGATCAGGGATGAGCATCTAAATCCCCATGAGGGGGATTTGCATCAGGGATGAGCATCTAAATCCCCATGAGGGGGATTTGCATTCTGAAGAGTCGCTTTGGTGGTAGTACACTTCATTTTGCATTTCTTATTTTGGCGAAAGGTTTTAAAATGGCAGTGGATATTGTCACACCAGTCTTACACCAATTCCTAATTATTGGATGTTAATGTATACATGGATTGGTTCCCTGATTATGATGACTATAGCATCTAATAAGAATTAAGACTTGATGAGCACACCAAAGTTTTCGCAGAAGTAGGGCAAGCGTCAAACATTCCAATTTCAGCACTGTTCTTTGTATAGGTTGGATCATCTCACAGACTACTAGGCGTCAATCAAGTAGGCCTCTATTTGGAGACACTTCGAAAACACTTTTTATAACAAGCTCCACTCAATGTCAAAATGCAAGGATAACATACTTAAATAGGATGTTTATTATTATTATTATTATTATTATTATTATTATTATTATTATTATTATTATTATTATTATTATCAAATTAATATAGAAGATATTGTTCGAGAACTTGAAGAAGTCCTGAGAACAGGAGGAAACATACGTTTTTGGCTTCAGTGTAAGAAAATAGTACAGTATCTAATCGAAACCGACCTCGTACACAATAATATTTCGATAACTCTACAAAAAAAACTATTCTTAGTCACCATTCCGGTAACAAGTTTCATTTATTATTGGTTATTATAACACAATTTTAAGTCATAAATTGTTTTACTGTAGGCCACGAGCTTAAGGCCTGTTTACGCTTGAAATGATAACGATAAACGATAATGATTAATCGTCAAGTCAGCGTTCATATTGCAAGAAAAGTTATTGTTGTTGTTGATAAGTGAGATCATTTTGTTCTAGATTTTTGTCAACATGGCAGATTCTTCTTCCGATGTTCTTACAATTTATCATATTTTATTATAAGCACAAACTAAGAAAAACAGACGTCGAACGAAGGGTTCACGAAGTGAATCAATATACTGTAGAAAGCAGCAGGGTGCCATTTCACGCCACTTTCCAAAGAACTTCCCAGCTGCGAGGACGAATTAAACAGTAAACATAAAAATGTAAAAGACCTAAACACATGAAAAAGAAGTTGTAAACAACTACAAATAAAGTTATAGAAAATAATAATTATACATGATATATACACCATCCATATATAAGTCCCTATTACTATTTACATATTCTGATTGGATAGGCCTAATATTGAATTTGAATGTTTTTACACATTGTTTTAACTAGTTTTACTATTACTATTTTAAGTGTAGGCTTATGCGCATTTTTTTTATGTCCTTTTTAATGTCAGCATGATGTATTTTCATTTGTAATAAAATAAAACTGAATTGAATAGGATTTAGTGTCATAACAAGATATAATACATTAATACAATGATAAAAATCATTAAAGCTACAATAATTATAATCAACCCATGTTTTACTAAGTCATTGTCTTTGATCTTCAAATAGGGAATTCTCCTAAATTCGTTGTCAATACACATTAATGATTAATCAAGATAAACATCTTGACTAGCTGTTAATATAAGATTGTGAGTATAATATCAATTGTATTATTAGTATTATTAAAACGTCAGCATGCTTAGGTTTGAGATTTGCAACTGGGAAAACAATTTAAATTATTAACAATAAAGTGTTCCACTTGAATATAGCCTAACATGTACTGCAGCAAATACTTCATTGGAAGTGAAAACTAGCAAATGTTTAAATTTATTTGAGTAAGTAGAAGTTCTTTATACAAAATTTGCGCCTAACTGCCAGCAGTGAAACGTGCGTAGGCGATATGATCACATCCACAGTGGCGTATCACAGGAGTGTTGAAAGGGTGTGTGCGTGTGTATGTGTGTAGGGTGGGGGGGATGGGATGGCTAATAGGGTAGAGCGATGGTAAGTTAGGGGCTCGATGATTAGGTAAAGTGGCACTAGCTCAAAAATAAGCTGATTTTAACTACTTGAAAGTGATCTTTTTTTCTTAGGTAACTAGGGGATGGGGGTGAGGGTTGGGGAGTATTATTTGGCGCACCCTGAGCACCCCAATAGATACGCAACTGCACATCCAATCAATAAGGTAGTGCTCAGGATGTTTATATTGTTAACAGTCGGCGTAG